CCATCCCATCCCATCCCATCCCATCCCATCCCATCCCATCCCCGCTGAGTTCCCAGCCGTGCCCGGCAGGTGGCACCGTGGAACCGCACACCTTTTCTCTGCATAAATAACCAAATTTTCGCTCAATTTGAAACGATTTTCATCGATTTGAGGGAAGAAGGGAGCGAAGCAGGCTCCGGGCAGCCGGGAGTGGCGTCTTTAAGGAAGAGGAGAGGGTAAGCGGGGTATCCACTCTGCTGGGCATTGCCCTGTCCCAAAACAGCTCAGACACTGATTTCTGCTTTTAGAAAAGGCTGTGCCTGTATTTCACCATCGGGAGGTTGTCACTGTGACCTGAGACCCCTGAGGGACAGGGAAATTTTGGTATTGGTGGTGGTGACACAGCTCCTCTGGCTGCAGCCGTGTCCTCATTGTGGGTAACAGGGATGGATCCCGAATTTCCTGCCCCAATCTCACCCTGTGAAGGGCAGCCAGCTTCTCTGGAACAGCTGGACTGGCAGTTCCCAAATTCCATGGGGAATTCTGTGCATCCTGTGTGTTCTGTGCTGAAAACACCACAGGGCTTTTGGAATGAGATGATCTCTAAGGTCCCTTCCAACCCAAACCATTCCACAGCTCCATGAATTTAAGCTCCTCTCCCCAGGAAGAGCTGGATAAACTGTGGAGATACAGCAAAAAAATGTCTGTGCCTTCTTGGATTGACCAAAAACATGGAGACCAGGGATGCTGACAGGACAGTGGTACAGATGAGGCTAATTCAGGGATCACCTTTTCTGTATTGTAGGTAAAAATAGGAATTTCTACTCAATAACTGTCCCATCACCACTGAAGTTTATGTTCTTCTCAGCTACGTGAGTCTTTCATGCCAAGGAGGAGGATAAAGTTGGATAATATAAAGGAAAATGTTGGTGCAGCATGGGGGGTGAAATCAGAGATCTGGATATGGTGGGAGAAGGTGTTTCAGAACAGGAAAAGATGTTATAGAATGGCAGAAGGTGTTTCAGAATGGGTGAAGGTGTTTCAGAGTGGGTAAAGGTGTTTCAGAACCCCAGAAAGGTGTTCCAGAATTGAAGTAGATGTTTCAGAATGGCAAAAGGTGTTTCAGAAAGGTGTTTCTCCGTCCCTGAGGCCTGTTCCCATCTCTCAGGAGGAAATGGATGTGCTGTCCATTCTGGGAGGAGGAGGAGGATGATGTGGAAGGCTTTAGAGAGGCCTGTTCCCATCTCTCAGGAGGAAATGGATGTGCTGTCCATTCTGGGAGGAGGAGGAGGATGATGTGGAAGGCTTTAGAGAGGCCTGTTCCCATCTCTCAGGAGGAAATGGATGTGCTGTCCATTCTGGGAGGAGGAGGATGTTGTGGAAGGCTTTAGAGAGGCCTTTCTGCACCTGGGGCTGTTTCACTCTCAGCACCCATTCCTGGAGAAACAACCCCTCTCACTCAGCACCAATCTGCTTTAAGCCAGGCCCAAATAAATTGGGGCTGTTACATCTTTCTCCATAGCCAGGCAGATTTCTTTTCCCCCTCAATGCTCTCCCCGGGCCTGTTTTTATTTCTTTCATCGCCATCCAGCGCCGGCTCCCGCCACTCAGGCCTGCTCAGGTTGGAGGGAGCAGGGCATGTTTGCTCTGACAGGAACTCTCAGCTGGCTCGTTAGAGCCTTCAGCAGGTGGGGCAGCCCCGAGCAGCCCATCCATCTAAACACAGACGTGATTAGGGCTGACCTCGCCCTGCAGCCCCCCCGGCCCCACCTTCTGTGGGGTTTCATCAATGGATCCCAGCGTTGCAGGGAGCAGCCCCACGCTGGGCAGGCAGATAAGAGCAATGTCATGTTAAACATTCCACGGGAGCCTGGCAAGTGGCGCTTTGGGTGGAAGCAAATCCTGGGAAAAAATAGCTGATTTATTAATCCTGGCCGAGCGCTCGTAACGGAGCAGTTCTGGGGAGAATCAGGTTTAAAAGCTGGGGCTTGTATAATCATTTTCTAATTTTAGCGTCACCAGAATGTTCTGCTCAGTGCTGTGCCACTGGGTTGGGTTTGTGGAGTGTGTAGACATGCATCATTGTCCTCACCCATTAAAAGGAGAAAAGATCAGATCTTATGATCTTGTGACAATGCCTTTGTTTTCTCTGGACAAAATTAATCCCCAGGGTAGGAAAGAGTCAGCAGCTCTCCAGAAATAAAGAGTAATCTTTTTCATAATTCCCATCTCCCTTTTGTTTTGGGGTGGTTGGAACTTCTCTGACGTTTGGAAATGTTGAAATGGGCGTGAAGCGAGGGGAGGTTTCCCAGTTTGTGCAGAGGTTGTTTTACAGCTCAGTCTGTTCTGCTCCTGAGCACCAAGGCAGTAAATGCACCAAGCTGAAACAGGAGGGACTCCACTATCCAGGGTGAAAAATAATCCCTTTTTTTCCTAACATTTTCAAGTTTATTTAATTTTTAAACATTGGGACAAGAAAAATGGGTTTTGATTATGTTTTATCTCTCTGACTGGATCCAAGGCTGACCTAAAATGAGACATTTTGGAGAAAAGTTCTAGGCAATAATATTGGCTCAGGCAATCACACATTATTGAGTCATTAGGACTGATTAGGGTAAGAGCAAAGATTTTATTTGCTTCTCTGCCACTGGAATCAGAACAGAGCCTTCTCTCCATACAGAAACCTTCTCAGATTCAACTAAAAACCATTAAAAACCCCTGAAACATTGTCCCACTGAGCTCTGTTCCAACCCCATTGTTCTGACGTGATCATTCCGGGGTGACTCACCAAGAACTGGAAGGCACCGGGAACAATCTCCCAGCCAGAGCTGGAAAATCTCTGCGATAACTCCGAGACACTTGAGGAAAACGTGGTCCCGTTTCTTGGAAGTGTCTGATTGCACAAATCCGTGGTGGGATTAGTAAGAGGTGGCGCTTCAGGCTGGATTTGTTCTGTCTGAGACCAGAACAGAGGTTGGGGGTGAGGCTGGCAGGGAATGAATTGTGTGAGAGTGAATTTTAATTGCCCATCTCAGCCTCAAACAAATTCTGGGCTCATTATCTGCTCCAGTGCAAACCTGCTCTTTATCATCTCACTGGGGCTCACAATCCCTCACAAAAAAGAGGGATTTTCCTGCATTTTGGGCCATTTTTGCTGCTTCTTCTCCCTTGGAGGGTAAAGCCAAACTTCCCAACCTGAGATTTCTCCTCTGAGCAGAACAAGAAATATTAAACAGCTCCAAGCTGCCACCAAAGAGAGAGAGTTTCTTATCAGCCAACAAGTAAAATCACGATGTTTTCCACGGTTTGCTTTCCTTTCCAGTTCTTTATCTGAGCTCCACACGTGGTAAAAGCGAAGCAGCACCGTAAATTCCAGGAGCAGCAGCAGCAGCAGGGCTGAGCCAGCAGCTCTCAGCTCTGTTGCTCTTTGCCTTTCAACAGCTCCATTCCTCCTCTGGGCTGCGCTCACACAGACACAGGCCAGGTTCAGGTTTAGGAAAACAGCAGGAAAACGCGGTGGCAGAGGCTCAAACAGGGTCCTGTTGTCTGCAGGGAGAGCTGAGCACCCATCCCTCCACCTGTGGGGTGGAAAACCCACCCTGCCCTGTCCGGTTTTCGGCTGTTTGGA